GAAACATACCTACAAAGTTTAAAAACCAAATTTTATGTCGTCATTCCTATATTATCTCTGCATATATTCTGTATATACTCTAAAGGTGATTACCTCATAATATTACGTCTGCACTGATAAACGTGAATCGGGTTATAATTGTCTATGCTTGCGCAAAATAAATAAAAGCCAGCTCATTTCCAAGCGATTTAGAAAATTCATTTTATATTATCCAAACAACAAAGTCATATTTCTCTTTCTATGACACTGCGCAATGGTACACACACCCATTACGCAAATATTGTTTGGTACATGTGAGGCGAGCCAGCTTTGTAGCTGTGATATAAAGCACAAACAGGGTTGACAATGGCTCTTGTCTAACACCCTTGATGTTGTTCAGTAAGAATACTAACCACATTCTAGATTACAGAATGTTTAAATTAATTTATTCTGACTGGCGAGTTTATATTTGTTTCAGCATGTATATATACATTTACCTAACTAACGGGGGCCAAAATACAATCCCATGCATGTACCACATGAGCATCCGAGAGCGCTGTTTAAACAATTTCGACAGGAAATGCCCTACAAAAGCATATAATGTTGCCTCGTTATTTTTTTTATGCATTTCATAAAATGAGTAATCCAGTGTTTTTACAGATGGAAAAAATCCATGAAAATATATAGTTTAAACTGAAATTATATGTAAATTAATCTTAAACTAACCCTTAATAGATTTCCGCTATGTTGCGAAATCATTCATTGTCCAAAATGAGTACATTGACATACAACGATTGAGCTTCTTGAAGGGTATTTAAGGTTGGGGCATTGTAACCGCACTAAACTATCCGGTACGGTATTTGTCTATTATTCCATTGTATATACGTGTGTCATACGTGCATAGGTTGTGATCACTGACTAAAATGACGCATATTAATCAACTTAATACAAGAAGGTCATAAATCACCAGTACGCGAAATGACGTTAATGGTATTGAAATTATTTCTCGTTTCTTGTCATTTTTGTCGCATGGTTCATAAGGTGACAATATGATACGGAGCCGTCAACTTACCTCGTGAACCTTACTCAAACTACCTGAATTGATTTTATATAAATTTATTCTTTGCATCATTTGTGTCAATTTTTATTTTGGTCTTTAGGACAGTGTAATCCCTGGACGTGACCGTGTTTATCACTTATTGTTTGTATTTTCACTACCCATGCGTGCACGACACAGGCATATATTATCACATCGTATTGTGGTTTTGCAGATATATATATGCTTAATGACAATTCGGTATGATTGCCCATGTAGTACTTTCATTTCGACTTTTCTTTAATCTCATTTGAGGTTTTGGCAACGTACCAAAATTTCTGTCCTGTGTGGTATCACTTTCATACCAAGGAACAGTTCAATGCAAATTGCTTACGTATCTATCTATGTATCTTTCTGGAGAGACACAAAGATGAAAGCTAGTTCCATTCCGCGCCAATCATGATTAATCAGTCGCCGAAGTTCGCGAGAATAACTGCTGGAGATGCCAGTTCGCAGTCGAATGCGCCAAAAACGAGCGATTGATTAACATTTCATAAATTCTGATTATCCCGCCCATAACAATGGTATGATGAACCATGAAACATTGTAGGTATATTCACGGGTGGCATCGTTGCCGAGTCCGTGATTTGCGGCGCATATAAGGACGTTATTACAAATACTATATTAAATACAACCAAAATGTGCGTGCATGTTTCGTGCGTTTAAATCGAACGTTAGAAATCTTTCAGAAGCCAAAATACAAGGATGGCTATGACTTTCTTACGCTACTGTAGTACAACAATATCTATAAGCAGCTCGTGCATTTAAACCATGCGAACGGAGTGTGATTTTAATTGGTCGCAACCAGAAAATTCCACACAATATAAACAAATATCATATGATTGAGCAATCTTGAAACTAAGAAGCAAAGGTAACCCTGAAAAATCAGTCTAAATTTTGATAAATATAAATCAAACCACGGAACTTCAATAGATTCCATTATATTTCCCGGACCTACTGAAGAATGTATGTTAGTGTTGGAATCCCAACTCAGTAAACTCTTAGCATATTTTCGTGAACACTCTCAAGAATTATACGCCTCAACAACTTTGAAGTATATTTATTTACCCGTATACGTCAAGATTTCACGATAAATCTAGGTAACGCTAACTCAACCCATCTCTCATTTATTATGAAACTTTCGTTTTTTTTACCCTGTACATTAGATGAATAGCTATTTACATAAACTACATAAACAACATATACTAATCAAAGAGTTACAATATCCTCTAAATCGTTAGGATTTGATTTCCTTTTCATTTCACGATTTTGATTTCCCGTTGAAAGATATAGCCTACGTGCCATGCAAAAACCGAATGAGAACCCATTATATATCCATCTGTAGGCCGTTCATATCGCTATCTGGTCAGGACAAGCCTGTACTTTAGATGCGGTTATTACGTAAACTGTGCCTGGTCGGGCTTCGTTCACGCAATTAGAAATGAAAAGCAGGACTACAGCTTAATAACGCTTGATTACACCATAAAGGCTTAAATGATGTTTAACCTCTATGAAGTTATATATGAAAGTATTTTCACTACTGCTTTTTATATTCAAAGAAGCTTTCGCAATTTTATGGGTTAGCAAATATAATTGCTTCAGAATATATTCGACGGTTTCAGTCACCTTCAAAAAAACATTACAACATTGCATATTACCGCACTAGGGTTCTTCGGACAAGTAAAAGCACTGAGCAGTTTTGATTGGTATGTTAAATTTGAATACACTGGGTCGACGACACCTGTGCAAAAAAACAACCTCGAATAGATTGTTGCTGTCGCGAAAACGCAATCCACCTTTTTCAGTGATTTAATCTCTCTAAATTCCCATATTAGGCATGACCAGAAAATCGCATATCCAGCAAATTTCATTTTTGTAACACATACGCCTTCGAGATCTACACCTTTTTAGACTACATCATTTTCGCAGTATAGCATTATTCATCAATGTGACATAAATTTTTATCGCAAATATTCTATACTAATTAAGTTTACAAACCAATTTACCAGTGACAGCAAGCGCGTAACTAAATGCCTGGCATCAGAGAATAGAAAATCCTTTTGAAACGACAGCCTATACCCACCAACTTCCTCTCTAATTCAGGCGTTCGCCAACTCATGTTTACCAAATATTAAATTATATGCTGCACATTCAAAGAGAAGCGCGCATAGTCCGCACACGCACACAGGAAACTGTGGGTCATTTGTTGCATCAATGACACTATAGCAGGTTGGACTACAAATAGGTCAAAAAATATTCACGGATGATATATACCGCTAGGCGTGAGATACAAGTCATTTGTGATACAGTCGTGGTACAGCAGCACCAATAATTTGAACAGTTCCAGTCGGGATACACTACACAAGTTTGATTGCGGCGTAGCATCTAAAACCACATGCTTATGCAAGTTCAATCACTCACCGGCATAACTATGCCACAAAGTGAGGTTGTTTTGAGGCAATTCATGTGGAAGTACAAAGTTCGGCCTTTTTAAGATAGAGAAGAATACGTAAAAAACAAAAATTCCAAAAATGGGTAGACCACAAGTTACTTTACTCATGGACTACATCAGACCTATATCTAAATTATTTCCTTGTCTGTATTTCCTGTTATACACGTTCGATAGTACAGAATTCCGCGCATTATCTAAGTGCAAAAGAACACAGGATTGTTTTGTCGACAACATAATTTTCGCTGACATTGAACATGTATTCTCTGGTCATACAATCCATTATAAACTTCCATCGTGTGCTGTACATGAGCATGAATAATTGTTGCATTATTAATTAATGCCTTTTCAACATGCATGCATATATCCATTGAAAATGGTTAATTACGTACTCAGTCAAAAATTCAAAATTCTTCATAGTATTTAAAGTCTAGCCCAGTGATTATTCAACCTCGTTGAGCGATCGGATTTCACATTCGCCAACTTAGCAATCCATGAAAGAGCTAAAATGTCTTGTAAACACGCCACAGGTCATGCGAGAGCGCGCGTAAAGTAAAAAGGAGCTATGTTTTCGAACATGAAGGGTACACAAGTGTCCTTAAACAATGTATAACCCGACACATAAAACCCGTAAAATCGTGAATGTTTTCATCATGTACTGTATAGACCAGGTATGAATCGAGTATGGATCCGCGATTTATTCAAAATTCTTGCAAGATTGAAGCCGGAAGCTCACAGAATTGGCGTGTAATATACTGCTGCACAAACTCAAACAAGTGTATAGCAACACGAATGACTCTAGATAGCAATAAGTGGTGTCAAATATAACCAATGAGTGGGAGGCAGAGAAGCAGTTGAATTCATCTTTAAAATCGTCTCATAACAACGCTAATTACATATATATGATCAAAAATATAAATAAATTTACACACAAACTTAATATGTGAAGATGTAAATTCGGGACATTTTCGTCACCCTGGAGGGAGCCTCATAATCTCAAAGCAAACTGACGTATAGATGTGAGTTCATTGATGCTATAAATCTAGATTTCGTACATCAGCGATCAGTAAAATATTGGTTTGTAACAAATTCTGATTTTGAAAGCGAAAGAAACTATATATATTATAACACAAATTAATAATCACCCAAAACTCTTACTAGATATCTTCTTCACTACTAAAGACAGCGAGGAGTACCGGATTTGATCTTCATAATTCAACGAATTCAGGCTGTTTATTTTACAAAAAAACGTGCATGTTAAAGAGCGGATGCCGAGACGTAACGTAAAGTGACATAACTGAGTCACGCCAATCTGGGAAGCATTACGTTAACTACTTTTTTATGTTCAATCATACCACGCGCACGATTGTTCTTGTATGATCCTTTTGACGTAACATACAAAATTGCTTTCCTTAGAATCATACTTTAACTTCCGGTACACTATGACGTAAATTGCAACAAAATATGGAAGTTTGGCTTTCATCAGTTAATAATTCCAAAAACACCAAACTCATATATATATATTTTTAAATTCAATCGAAAGTGAAATATAAAGCTAGCAACACAATCGCGTACTTCGGGAAGTCGAAGTATAGTAGATACAAGTTATAATGGACCCTTTTGAACTTTTCCTAGTTTCCCTTATATGTTGTTGGTTGATTCATATATTCATATGCTGAAAATATTTGTTACTGAATATACATCCCGACTTGGTTGAAAATATATATTGATCGGCTACCCGCACAAAGAAGAGGCACTGTGTTAAAAGAAAAAATATTTTATACTCGAAATAAAACTCAAATCCCAAGCTCAATATAATATATTTTACAATCGACACAAAACGTAATCGTTCTTTTCAATGGGGCCATTTCGTATAACATTTCTTTGTTATCGATCTTATATAACTAATAGCAAAAAAAGAGGTAATTCATGATATAGTCGAAGAATATTTATCGATATTTAAAAGCGAATTCATAATATTTTAAATTAAAGTAGGTCAAACGCTGCTAAGAGTATACCGGAAGTAAGTAGTTTTTCTTTCTGAAATTTTGACTTTTAACAAAACAACGTGCTAATGACTCCCGGGCCCCTCTTGTGGTGAAGCCGAAACAAAGAAAGCAATGAGTTGAAATGTAGCCCATGGAGAGTCGAGGAAGACATACATTCGACTTACATTCGGTTAAACAAAAATTCTGCTCCGACTGCTGGTCGTAAATAATTTTGCCTTCGGCTCCCTATACCAACTCTGAACTGCAGAAAAAATCAAACTTGATTAATTTAAGCGAATAAATTCTCTTTAAGAAGCAATGCAACCTATTTCATATTTTTGCCTGGGTAATATTAAATTGGTTACATTTACACAAAAATATGATTACGGGGAGATCAAGACCAGAGTGAGGTCATAGGAAAATTTGACCCAACTCCCAATTCCACGACGTTCAAAAAATTAATTTTAAGGCTTTCATTTTGATAACGACGTCATGACGATCCATGGAATTTATCAAGACCTCACAATATAATTTAAAACGAATAAAATTATCCGTTCATGTTTAACATAAACGGTCTACGATAAGAAAGTGAAAAAAATATAATAGTTCTTGTTTGTTATTAAATATAATTTTTTTTCAGTTATATATAGATATTTCCTCACCGTTTTCAAAAAACGGGCATTATTATAGTTGGGACTGTTCAATTAATTTCATTTGGTAAATGCTATTTTAAAATTGAAGGAATGGAGTTTTTCAAATTTAATTCTTAATTTTTTATTACTGTACTCGTATATCAGAATCTGTGTCGAACTTACGTTCTATAACAAATTTCCATGGATATTTCTGATATATATATATGTTATATAAGGTAAGCATCGTGATTCGTGAAGCATTTGTTGAATAGACAATGAACCAGTCACATCAGTCTGATATTCAGATATCGTTAAGCACTTATTGCCTAGTTCCCAATGTGTAAACTTTTCTCGGAGAATATACAGCTCGTCATACTATTTTATGATCTTTCGATTGTTTTCGTACCGCGTAAATTGTTAATAACAAATATAGGGGCTCCCGAAGTATGCGAACCAAGATGGCGGACATCGGAATGTAATATGCGTACTAGGTTAGGGTTAGGCCATAATTTTAGGTATAAATACTACGGGAGGCTCTTGGCTAGTCTTCGAACTGATAATAGGACTAAAATAAGGAAAATTGGAAAAAAATTATCGCCTAACCCTAACCTGTTACCCATGTTACGTTCCGATGTCCGCCATCTTGGTTTGCATACTTCGGGAGCACCCAAATATAATTAAAACAGTACAATGACAATGTTTAAAAATAAACTCTAATCAACTGAAGTCGAACTGTGTCTTTTTGTTTTAGTAAAATCTACCGGTAGAAGAATAAAACATTGAAAGAAACTGGACTTTTTCACGCTTCAGAAAGATCTTTTGACGCCCTGCCACTGGTGCAATGAAACTCATGGACCCCTCCACATTTTACTGACACACCATAGATATAGGGGTCAAAATTCGTCATAATTGCTTTTGAAAATGTGATTCGAAATAGTTTTCGCAGGTGCACGGCACGCGGGAAATACCGGGCTTTGTAAAAAGAATACCAATTCATATAGAGTGGTCTGTATATATGTTCAACTAAGCGAATACAAATTTAACACTGGAATATAGATATACATATATATATGAATATGAATTTACTGTACCTTACATTTTGCAGAGTTTTATGCTAATGAGAGATACGCAGCTAAATATATAGTCTGCCGTTACTTTTCCATCATCTGGAGCGTAATTCGTTAAACTCAAATTAACATAGGCCATAGGGGGTAATTAATATAGAAAACAAAAGTCTCAATGGCTCATTGTGCTAGCGCTGGAAACAGTCCAGGGTGACATGGAATCGCCGTTTTGGATTTGTTGAGGCAAGCACTCAACAGACGAAACACCAAACTAATGGATAAAAAAATTTTCATTCAATTTTTATCAAGCAATTTCTAGAAGCATCATCAACTATGTACAAATTAGTTTCCATGATGATTGGTCGTTCGATATGTGAAATTTATACACTACTGTCAGAATTTACAAGAACGATGTACGTTGTATTATTCCAACGTTATTCTTTAGCGATTGGTTATTGTTTCAACTCTGTCATGTTGTAGAAAATGTTTCTAGTTGAACGATCATTCTCTGTTCTATCATCAGGCTCCAGTGGTGTCCGCTGTGGTCCGTGTATTACGTAAGGAAAATAAACATTCCTTGCCAATAATGGATTATAGAGTCTTAGAAACTGAAAATCGTCCAACGTTTCTATTTGAGGACGTTCTTCTGGCGCATAAGGGGGCGGTGCATGTTCATCGATTGGAACAGCAGCTGCTTCGGCTGCTGCAGATTCTGATACGCAGCCTGTCACCTTTCCTTCAAGGTCAACTTTATCTGCAACCATTCTGTATTCTCTTCTCGAAATAGCGTGCGGAATATAATCTTCATCATTGAAGTACAAACTAACTTTCAACTTGTTATGAAAGATAACAGGATACCGATTCTAGGCTTTATTAAACATAAGAACACCACTACCACAACTTAACACTGTAAACAATAGAATAACACGCAAACAGTAAAGTGTGCAGTACGACAGAACCAGAGCAATCAAGAGTACATTGTTTATCTAATAATTACACTGTAAAGAAATACTAACACCACAATTTCCCCCTCCTAAAAGATTATTTAACAAAAGTTTAATAAACATTTCACTCATAGTAATGTAAACGATCAATTGGACGTTTTTCTCTAGTAGAACGCCTAGGAGCCGGGGTGTCTATCTTCTTCATTGGGGATGTTTCGCGTTTTTCATCATCACCAGGAATATTTGACTTTTCTTCCCCTTCTTGAATTTCTGATTGGTTGATAACGGGATGCGATATTTTTGGTACATAGTCGGAATCTGCTGTATCAGCCTGCTTTACAGGTAATTGAGAATGTTGATTATCGGAGGAACTTCCATTATTTTCACTTCCAAACGACGTACCATCACCACACGGTGCAAGATGCTTTGTTGATACTGTTGAGGTTTTACCATCTGAATACCGAATATGAGCGTAATGTCTGTTCGCATCTAGAAGTTCCACTTCATCGACGTATGGATCAGATTTGTTTCTTCTAATCTGTCTCTTGAGAAGAACAATTTTAGAATTTGTCAGCCACGTTGGAACGGCATATCCTGTGGTAGATCTTCTTGCAAAATTGAACAACCGTTCATGTGGTGTTGCATTTGTTGCAGTACACAATAGTGATCTGATGGAATGCAAAACATCTAATAGAACGTCTTGCCAACATTCAACATTAAAGCAAGTTTTATTCCTTTCCAAATTGTACCATTGCACCTTTCTACTTGACCATTCGCCGAAGGATTGTAAGGAGTTGTTCTACTGTGAGACACACCCTTTTCTTGCAAAAATCTTTTAAACTCACAACTCATGAAAGCCGAACCACGATCAGTATGTATGTAAGCAGGCATTCCAAATACAGCGAACAATGGAGTTAGACTTTTTATGACACTGGCGGTCGAAACATCAGGTGTTGGAATAGCGAAGGGAAATCGTGAAAACTCGTCAATTACGCAGAGAAAATATTTGTTGCGATTGTTCGACGGAAGAGGTCCCTTGAAGTCAATACTTAAACGTTCAAAGGGCTGAGTCGCTTTTACAAGAGTTCCTGCTTCAGGCCGATAGTATTTAGGTTTTATCTCTCTGCATACACGGCAATTCAAGACAGTTCGCTTAACGTCTTCAGTCGAATAAGGTAAATTACGGACCCTAACAAAATGAGCGAAAATAGATATACCTGGATGGCATAATGCATCATGTAATTTAGTGAGGATATTAGTAGAAGGAAGAGCGCATGAAATCCTCGATAGAGTGTCTGGTGCAACATTGTCTTTGCCTGGTTTGTATGCGATATCGAAAGAGTAACCGGATAGCTCAATTCTCCATCTTGTTATTTTTTCATTTTTGATTTTACCTTTGTGGCGCAAATCAAACATGTAAGAGACACTTTTCTGATCTGTTTTCATGATGAAACGTCTTCCTGTTAAAAAGTGACGCCAATGTCGTACTGCTTCAACTATGGCCATAGCTTCTTTTTCGACCGAAGGGTGTTTAAGTTCAGAGCCGTGTAATGTACGTGAAAAAAATGCCACTGGACGACCAGATTGATTTAGTGTCGCTGCTATAGCAATATCTGAAGCATCAGTTTCCAATTCAAATGGAATATTTTCATCAACGGCAATGAGAACAGCATTTTCTATTAACTGTTTTAGTTCATAAAAAGCTCCAATAGCAGTGTCAGTAAGAGGAAAAGAGGTCGATTTTGTTAATGATCTGATTCTATTTGAGAAGTTTGGAATCCATCTAGAATAGTATGAAAAGAATCCCATGCATCTGCTCAATTCTTTAGAATTTGATGGTATTGGAAGTTGGCGTAAAGGTTTTAATCTTTCGGGATCTGGACGAATTTCACCTTCAGCAATTTGATATCCTAAAATCGGCAATGTTCGAGTAGTCCATATACTTTTTGATTCATTAAAAATCAATCCTCGTTGTTTTGCAGATTCCAGGAAAGCAGCCAGGTTTTTGTCGTGATCCTCTTTAGTCATTCCACAAATAGTTATGTTATCCAAATATGGAAAAACTCCTCGCAGTTGTTCTTCTTTCACGAGCTGCTTCATTATCCGCTGAAAACAAGAGACCCCGTTTGTGATTCCGAAAGGCAGCCTTGTGAATTGGTATAAATTTCCCTCGGCTTCAAACGCGGTAAACTCTCTGTCTTGGTGTTTCAGTGGAACTTGATGATAAGCGCTAGTGAGATCAACAGTACTAAAAACTCGATATTGTGCGATTTCATTCACTAACTCTGAAATGTTTGGCAATGGGAAAGCGTCCAATAAAGTGAACTTGTTAATAGTTTGCGAGTAATCAATTGCCAAACGTTTCTTTCGATTTTCTGCTTTAACCACAACGACTTGAGCTCTCCATGGCGAAAGGCATGTTTCGATAATTCCTTCTCGCTGAAGTCTTGCTACTTCGTCTCGAATGAATAATCTATCTTCGTGTGAATATCTTCTCGATTTAGTGGCGATTGGATGACAGTCCGCAGTTAAATGTTTGAATGGTTCAGGTGGGGTTATTTTCAATGACGAGAAACCACAAATTGATAATTCAGGTTTTTTACCACCGTAGTGAAATCTTACACTTTTATGCAGGGTTTGGAAATTGAGTCCGAGGATCATATCAGCGCATAAGCTGTCGATTACACCAAACTTAACTCCGCAATATTTATGATTATTATAGTATAAATCCATTTCAGTACATCCAAGAACTTCTACTGAACATTTAGACGATGCCATGGAAATGACATTCTTTGTCGGACGAACGTTGAGCCTAAGAGATTTTACCAGCCTTGGGTGAATATAATTTTCCGTACTACCACTGTCGAACAAAGCTCGTACTTTTCGTTGACCGACTTCTACCAAGGCTGTGGCTTGTCGTAATGTAGACGGAACGTATCCAACATGAGTATAAGATTTATCATGAATAGTAGCTAATGTTGAATGTGGTATCATTGCTGAAATGTCAATGCGACTGCTGGAGTCATTGTTCGAAATAGTTCTTCCGCGACAGACCTTTGCAAAATGTCCTTTCTTTTGACACTTGAAACACTTCCCGAGCTGGGCATTTCGATCGTGGGTGTCTACTATTACCACAGAAAAAGCATTTACTTCTAATAGTCATCGCTGCATTATCTGGCACCGATCCAACATCGAAATTGTTAGATTGTATCGTTGAAGGTGCTGTTCCGACGGAAGCGTTTTCGTTTATAGCATAAGATTGTGAATTTCGAACGGCAGTTTCCAATGATTTGGCTTGATCAACCATTTCGTCCAGTGTCAATTTCTTATTCTCCAGCAGTCGTTGGCGTATCCAACTGGAATTCAAGCCAAGTATAAAAGAGTCCCGAATATATTCATTCTGGTATTCTTTAGCAGATACGTTCTGAAAGTTACAATCTTTGCTCAATTCTGTCAATGCTCTTAAATATTCAGCAACTGACTCAGAAATTTGTTGGGATCGCGTGGCCAACATATGACGTGCATATATTTCATTCTTTGGCTGTACAAAAATCCCTTTCAGCGTATCTATGGCTTCATTATAAGTTGTGATATTTCTAATATATCTATAAGTTCTCGGAGACACATAGTTTGTTAATACTCTCAATTTATCCAGTCCTTCAGTGGGTAAAGCTTCCAAGAAATTTTCGAATGTCTTTTGCCAATGCAGCCATTCGCATTCCGCGTCACGTGTATCAGGATCTGTGTCTAGTTTCTCAGGCTTTAAAACTTTATCCATTGTGGTTGGTTCGTTAAGTTATGTTTAATAAATTGTTATGAAAGATAACAGGATACCGATTCTAGGCTTTATTAAACATAAGAACACCACTACCACAACTTAACACTGTAAACAATAGAATAACACGCAAACAGTAAAGTGTGCAGTACGACAGAACCAGAGCAATCAAGAGTACATTGTTTATCTAATAATTACACTGTAAAGAAATACTAACACCACACAACTCATGTTCATAAAATGCCAATTTATTGACGTAAAACGTCCCAGATCCCGGTGACTCCTGTTCGATGTCCCATCCGCTTTCTTGCGTCAATAGTTCAACTATTTTATGCGGTTGCAATTGAGGAATAAACACGCAGATCTATCGCTGGGGGCGATCTGTATAATAAAGACAGTATTCCGATGGTTGGCTGACCGTAAGTGTCTTTGTTCGCCTCGTGCAGGGTTTGTACACATGATGCTACGATTTCCTGAATCTCTATTGCCGTTTCCGAGCTAATAACTTCACGAGCTTTGCCTATGCGGAATTTGTCTGGAACTGTTAAAAACTTTTTCTTCAACTTGTATCTCGTACCGTTGTCGTATTCGATTACAGCACGGCCATCCTCGGCAAAACCCACAAGCTTTGAGGGCATAGTGAGTGCTCTGATAACATCAGGCCTGGAATTAACTTCTGATAGAACTTGGGTGACATAATTTGGCGGCCCAACGTCAAGATAGACAGTGCTTCCAATTTTAATATTTTCAGCCATGTATTTGATTTCATTGTGTTTTTAAATTTCATCGGGTGTTGCCTTTTTCAAAGCTGAAGCATCGGCCGATACGTTTTGGTCACAGTTGTAGTGTAATAAATAATCCAGATCGTCGTCGACAAGATTCACATCAGCTGTACTTCTCAAGTATTCCAAGAATATTGGCGGTACATTTTTATCATCTAAAAGGACTCTCATGTTTTCAGCCATTTTAATTTTAACGATATCACCTGGTACTATAATGAAATCCTCTTCTTTCACTTCTTCATCACACATTTTCAAAACAGAATCTGAATTTACCGTCCATGACTGTCCCCCATCTGGTATCTGAACATGGAGGGTACAGTCTTTTCTAATGTGTACAACAGTAACTTCCCTTCCAGCGATTTGGCTCATTGATGAATTCCAGTTGCCTTTGTCTTTTTGATTTTTAATCAGCTTAGTATAATTTGAAATCATTTTTACTTTTTCGCCAATCTCAAATCCTCGTGCATGAACGACATTCCTAGGTTGAATCGGGTTTTGATCAGGACACAAAATGAGATTATATGAGTTAATATCATAGCTCACTTTTTCGTCAAATGTAACAACAATTGCTGCCCTTGTGACCGCTATGATTCTCCCTTTTCGCCCCAAATATTTAGGCGGAATTGTATCTAGACGCCTTTGAAGAAGTTGTACAACTTTTGGATCTGTTTTTGTTGTAACGTAATCGCCGATGTTCCATTGGGATGGAATAGGATCTTTTATCTCGCTGAGATCTTTTTCCAGTAGTCCTGGATACAGCGATGATGTACTGTATATCTCAGGTACGTAAACGTGTACCGAATTCTCGAATTTGCTGTTCAGCCTTGTTATGATTCCTACTTTGCCATAGACGCTGTGGAGTCTTTTATTCCAATTTAACATGCGGGACTGGATTGATTTGAAATCTGCTAAAGAATATTTAATTTTAACTCGATCTCCGAGTTCGAAATCCCATTTTTCTGCCCTTGGAATAAGTAATTCTCTTTCTTTCGATAATACAATTTTTTCCTCAATTTTTGAAGATGCAATCTTGTCAGCGATTTTATATATTCTAATTTTACTTGCAGAATACAAGAGATGTATTGTGCTCGATAGCTTTTTTGAAAGCTGTTTCCCCTTTCTTTTTTACTGTATCGCGTACTGATTCGTCCGTAACAAGATTTCCCAGCATCTTGGACAGTTTCTCCAATTCTTCCATTGTCTACTTTTGCTTACTAAATTTCAATATTTTTTTCTATATTTGAATTTGAATTTCTAAAATGTATTCAAATGTGGATTTTGTGGTTATTTGAGTACGAGTACCCAACGATTTTGGATCTTTTGTGGAAAGCTACGCCACTGAAAAGTGTGAGATTTGAGCAAAACATCCTCGTCACGTTAAATAAAAATTATTAGCATAATTATGCAGGAAGGGTTCGGTTAAGAATGATTTGAATTTCCATCGCAATTTGTATTTCTTCCCCTAACTGCATAATTACTATCTTTTATTTTGAGCAGTGGGCCGAATAGACTTTTTAAAGGTTTGCGAGCCGGAATTTGATTTTAAAGCTCACTGCAGTAAAACAACAAAAACAAAACTTTCTGAACAGAGATTCGGTATAGTTAGTCAGAGCGGGATTAAATTAAATATTAAATTTACTTGCTGTTTGTTTCAGTGTTGCCGCACAAGAGACGTAAAAATCAGAGATCAAAAAATCACACTATGTCGCAATATTATTTATGAGGAACAGCTAAAAATCACCTTAATGTGGCACATCCAATTTAACGATAACGAAGTTAAAAAAGCTAGCCATTTCTGAGTTTCCGTGAATACTGTTTTTTTTTATGGTTAATTTGAACATGAAACAAATAATAGAGCGAACACAGTCGAGTAACAAAAAGATTTACGTAAAGCGAGCCGGTGCCGATGCAAATAGCCCAAGTATATATTGGAACTCAGTCAATTTAAAAATTCACAAGGGGTCTATCTTCGACTACAACATTGTCACTGATCACTGACTCAATAAACACCATTTGAAACTAACAGCCCAACACCCTATACGTCAGATAGATTCGATGCATCTGAATTGTCAAATGATTACGCCGTCGTATCGGCTTCAATTTCGCTCAGGCTAAATATGTATATACTATCCGTCCTATCCCATCTTTCCGACTTTCTCATAGGCCTGCTAAGCAAATGTCCCCTTACTTCCTCAAATAATTTTACGTTGATTGGCATATAGGTTTACGCCCATTGTATTACGTATTTGTTTGCTCAATGACGCGCAACGAAACAAAAGGTCATTTTATCATGTTGAGACTGTGAGACAATTTGATAACAACAATGCATCGATCAATCTTGGTTATTACGAAGTGATGCAACCTCTTTCAGATTTTTGTTTGAGTAAGAAATTGGTTACATTTACACAAAAATATGATTACGGGGAGATCGAGGACAGAGTGGAGTCATAGAAAAATTTGACCCGACATCCAAAAAATTAATTTTAAGGCTTCCATTTTAACAACGACGTCATGACGGTCTACGTAATTTATCAAGACCTCACAATATAATTTAAAATGAATAAAAATATCCGTTCATGTTTGAGAAAAACGGCCTACGATAAGAAAGTGAAAAAAATATATTAAGTCTTGTTTGTTATTGAATAGATAATTTTTTTCTCAGGTATTTTCAAAATATCTCAGGTGAGTAAACATTGAACCGAATTCTCAAACTTGCTGTCCAGCCTTGTTATGATTCTTACTTTGCTCTTTGTCTTTTATTCCATTTTAACATGCGGGACTGTATTGATTTGAAATCGGCTAAAGAATATTTAATTTCAACTCGATCCGAGTGCGAAATTCCATTTCGCCCTTGGAATAGGTATTTCGCATTCGTCCGTTAATACAATATTTTTCTCGATTTTTGAAGATGCAATCTTGTCAGCGATTTTATTTATTCTAATTCTACTTGCAGAGTACAAGAGATGTATTGCGGCAGATAGCTTTTTTGAAAGTTCTTAGGCGCGTTTTTTGTTTCTTCTCTATTGCTCACTAGTTGGCCAAGACTTTCCAGCAGCATCTTGGAAAAATCTATTGTTTACTTTCGCTTTCGGACTTTCTGAACTTCGTTAACAATATACTATTCCGTATTTAAACTCGAATTTCTAAAACGTATTCAATTGTTAACTATGTACACAAAGATATTGGATCTTTTGTAGAAAGCCACGACACTGATGCAAAAATATGAGATTTGAGACAAACACCCCCGCTGCGTTTTAAAATAGAAAGTAATTATCCATGTAGGTTTCGGGTTAGGAATGATTTGAAAATTTGAATTTCCAGTGCAATCTGTATTTCATGCCCCAACTGGATAATTACTATTTTTACTTTGAGCAGTGGCGGGCGGGGCTGTTTTCTTAGCGAGGGATGTTACAATATTTGATTACGGTAAGTGGGACCATAAGAAGGTACATGGTAATAGCAAAATTCACTTTTTGAGGGTTTGCTACCCGGAATTTGGTTTAAAACTCATTGTAGTGTTGAATTGACTTGAACTGGAAATTTACTTTCTGATTGTTACAGAGTTGTCATACAAGAAACTTCGGAAAATTCCGAGTATAAATGAACTGACAAATCACAAATGTCGCAATACTATTATAGGAAATGGATAATCATTATCGTAGTGTGATGTTTCCGTGTCAAATAAGTTGGTATGGATTTATAGAGTAAATTTGATTTTTTTGAGCAAACTTACCCGTTACTATAAGGCATAAACTGAACTCACATTAATGAACAGATAGAATATATATAATTGAACGAAAACGATGTCAAAATAGCAAACTATATTAGTTTCCGTGAATACTGCATTTGGTACTTATATTTTTGAGCATTAAACAAATAGCAAAGCGAACACGGTCGAATAACACAAAGAGATATGTAAAACGAGCCGATGCAAATAAATAAATCCGTTAGTATTCGAACTTAGTCAATTTAAAAACTCACAAATTGTCTAAATTCTAGACTACAACATTGTCACTGATTGCGGACTCAATGAAGCCATCCAAAGCAAACGTCCCAATACGCAAACGTCAACTAAAGTCCGTGTGTAAGAACAAATAACAGGCTAACTAACCCTATATCCGACGACATGGACTGGTAAACGGGCGGGAGGCCGTGGCTCGCCACTTGAGTACGCCGCGGTATCGGCTTTTAATCTCGCTCATAATATTTGTGTAGCATATA